CTGTGGCCTCTCCCGCCGCGGAGCACAGGGTCCGGACGCGCAGGCTCAGTGGCCACGGCTCATGGGCCCAGCCACTCTGCGGCATGTGGGATCTTCCCGGACTGGGGCATGAACCCGTGTCCCCTGCATCAGCAGGCGGACTCTCAACCACTGCGCCACCAGGGAAGCCCCATGTTTCCCTCTTATACGTATGCTGCAAGACTCTACATTTATAAATGCTGTCTATCTCCAGTCCTACAAAATCCTCTCACCCTCCCCTGATTCACTCTTTTGTTTATAAAGAGTACTGCTAATCCCTTAAGGGGCACTGTCAGCTTTTAAAGAGGTGAGCACATAAACGTTTTAACATCAGATTTGGTATTCCTTTTAAACAGAAATACTTGGAATACTTCACAAAACTAGGATTGTCAAAATCAAGCTTTAGGGTTTCCCTGGTGGCGCAGTGGTTGAGAATCTGCCTGTCAATGCAGGGGACATGGGTTCGAGCCCTGGTCTGGGAGGATCCCACATGCCACGGAGCAACTAAGCCCGTGCGCTTCAACTACTGAGTTTGTATTCTAGAGCCCGTGAGCCACAACTACTGAGCCCGTGCACCTAGAGCCCGTGCTCCACAACAGGGGAGGCCACTGCAATGAGAGGCCCGCGCACTGCAGCGAAGAGTAGCCACCACTCGCCACAACTAGAGGAAGCCCACGTGCAGCAATGAGGACCCAATGTAGCCCAAAATGAAATAAATAAATCTATTAAAAAATCAAGCTTTATTAAATTATACTCCATAAGGTCTCTTTCCTGGTGAGTAATACATAGATCAAACCAAAAAAAGGAATTTAAAAAATGTTTTCATTGTTACACGTTCAGGCCTTCGTTGTGGCAACAGATCCTTCCATCACATCAGCAAGCTAGAAGGATCTCATCAAGTCGCAAAGCACACAGCATTCCTTCCTGGGCCCCATTTTATCTCAGGACGGCTCCCATGGGAGACCAAAACAGACCAAGGCAGTGAGACTAAACATATCCTTGTTCTGGGAGTGAAAAACTGAATCCAAAGAGAAGACCCATCAAGTATAAGCTCCTGAGCTCTGGTTACTCAATTTTAGAAATGTCTTCTAAACCCAACTGCTGAGGGAGCAAGAAGCAGAGTGCCGGGGGAGTTTTGAGTGGTAAACTGATCACTTGCCTTTAGAAATATCAACACCTTGCCATACGGATTCGACTGGTTTGACTACTGCGACTCGTGCTTAATTGTCTCTTCTTTTGCACCTAGCTATTTGTTGTCTACTCTTTATATTTTGTCCCTCCAGGTTCCATAAGGGATTCGCGGCACAGAGGGAGACCCACCCACTCGGGGCACGTTCTAGAGAAAGAAAACCAAAGATAATGCAAGGCCAGGATTCGGCCTTTTCCAGGAGGGAAATGGCAAAGAGGGGCAGAGATGCCAGTAGCTGGAGCACTGTAAGGGGTTCCCAAGGCAGACAGGGTCGAAGTTCATGAAGGAGAGAGACAGTGTTTAGGAAAGCACAGGAGAAGGCATTTGGAGGAGGTAAGAGTGCAGACGTTTGGACTGGCATTCGACTAGGAGAAAAAAAATCCCATTGGAGACTCAACGATCCCCTCCCCTCCAGCTATATCCTCTCTTACCAGAGCCTGAGGGCCAGCAGCGACGACGCGACAGAATCTCAGCGGCCGAAGCGTTCCCACTTCCGACTCAGCACGGCAACCGGAGCTAACGTCATGACAAGGCGCCGGGCCTTGTGGAATCTCAGCTGGGCGCCGGAAGCTGGGTGTGTCGCCCTGCGCTGGAAGAGGGCGCGCAAACATCCCCACTGCGCATGCGCTAACTGCCTTGGGCGGGGCGGAAGTGGCCGGAAGTGGATTTGGGGTTGGATTGGGGGCGGGTCAGGTTGAGTTGGGAGCGGATTGTGGTGGAGCTCAATGGCGTATGCGGCTCTCGGAAACCCATGTATCAGCAGCACGTATGAGTTGGTGAACCCTGGCACTACTAAGGCCTCTGTGGACTTACGCTGATTGTCCCACCGATCTTAGGCCTTTTTGAAACAGCTTCTGTAACTCTTCATAGATAATTATTATCTATGAAGCAATAACGGTAGCATTAACAATAACTGAAACTTGTGAACTGTTACTAGGTACCCGGAAATGTGTTAAGATATGCTTTGATTGGAGTGCAGTTTTCTCATTTGTAAAGTGAAGACAAGTACATCCTAAAGGTTACTTTGAGGTACACAAAGGCAAAGGAAGCAGCATACTTTTCAAGCATGCAAGTGAAAAGACAATTCATAGAGTGACAGAAAAAATTTGTAACTCACATATCTGATAAAAAGTTAATATCCAGTTATATAAAAAGCCTATAACTCAACAACAAAAAACCTAAACAACTTGATTAAAGAATGGACAATGGGCTTGAATAAGCATTTCTCTATAGAAGATATACAAATGGCCAATAAGCACATGAAAAGAAGCTCAATGTCCCTAATCATTAGGGAAGTGCAAATTAAGACCACGGTGAAATACCACCTCATACCCATTAGGAAGGTGATTATGAAAAAAAACAGAAGATAAGTCTTGGTGAGGATGTGGAGAGATAGGAACCCTTGTGCATTGCTGATGGGAATGTTAAATAGTGGAGCACTTTGGGAAAAGAGTTTGGTGGTTCCTCAAAAAGTTAAACGGAATTATCATATGATGCAGCAATTCCACTTCTGGGTAAATACTCCAAAGAATTGAAAGCAGGGACTCAAACAGATACTTGTACACCACTGTTCATAGCAGTATCGTTTGTAATAGGTGAAAGGTGGAAACAACCCAGAATGTCTATTGACGGGTAAATGGACAAACAAAATGTGGCATATACATACACATCATTATTAAGCCTTAAAAAGGAAGGAAATTTTGATACTTGCTATGAACCCTGAGAACATTATGCCAAGTGAAATAAGCCAGACACAAAAGGACAAATATTGTATGACTTCACTTATATGTGGTACCCAGAGTAGGCAAATTCAGAGACAGAAAGTAAAAAAGAGGTTACCAGGGGTGGGGTGAGGGAGGAATGGGGAGTTATTGTCTAATGGGTAAAGTGTTTCTTCAGGATAATAAAAAATTCTGAAAATGAGAGTGGTGATGGTTGCACAACATTGTGAATGTACTTAATGCCACTGAATAGTATACTGTAACACACACAGACACACACACCAAATGTTGAGCAATCTTAGAGTGCCTATTATGTTCCAGCATTGTTCTAGCTCCTGAAGCTACAGTAGTAGAAAAAAAATACAACTTTTCCTGGAGCTTACAATCTGGTGAGAGTGGAATGGTAATGTAGCATTTAAAATTAATGTGCACAAGGTGGATTATTCAATAAATACTTCCAGAATAAGTGGGTAGCTATGGATTTAAATGTTAGTCAATATATTAGACCTTTACACTAAAATTAATTCAAGGTGGATCAAAAATTTAAATATATAAAGTGAAACCAGGAAAATGCTATAGGAATTAATGGGAGAAGTTTTGTAAAAGAATAATCTAAGCCATAAAAGAACAGTGAATTCTACTACAGTCAAATATTTGTAAAATGTGTATAGAAAACCAACCATAAGTAAAGTCAAAATCTAAATAACAACACTGGAAAAATATTTGCAACTAATGCCACAAACAAAAGATCTATTTTCCCAAATATGTAAAGGGTTGTTGCAAGTCAATAAGAAGAAGATCAGGGGCTTCCCTGGTGGCGCAGTGGTTAAGAATCTGCCTGCCAGTTCAGGGGACCTGGGTTCAATCCCTGGTCTGGGAAGATCCCACATGCCACGGAGCAACTAAGTCCGTGTGCCACAACTACTGAGACTGTGCACCACAACTACTGAAGCCCGTGCACCCTAGAGCCTGTGCGCTACAATTACTGAGTCCACTCGCCACAACTACTGAAGCTCGCACACTCTAGGGCCCTCATGCTGCAACTACTGAGCCCGCGTGCTGCAACTACTGAAGCCCGTGCACCTAGAGCCTATGCTCCGCAACAAGAGAAGCCACTGCAATGAGAAACACGTGCACCGCAACGAAGACCCAACGCAGCCAATAAATAAATAACACTAAGAGAAGGGGTTATATTATAAACACCAAGAGTAACAGTAAAAAAAAAAATCAAAGGATATGAGCCTGTATTTCATGATAAGGAAAAACAAATGGTTAGGAAAATGCAGATTAAAATTAAGCTGAGACGCCATTTTTAACTTATCAGATTGGCAAAGTTCAAAAAATTTAATAGTACACTGTTAGATTGTGTATGGAACAGTAGACACTTTTGTTAGGATTATGTATTGGTCCAACCTCAATGAAGTGCAATTTGGCAATATTTAATTAAATTACAGGTGCAAACACATTATGGTCCTACAATTCCATTTATTTGTATTTGTTACAAATAGTCTTAATGTTCAAAATGACATTTATTGTTAGAAATAAAACTGTAAAAACAAGACATATGAGAAATCTTTGCGGCCTTGGGTTTGGCAAGGATTTCTTAGACATGACACTAAAAGCACAATCCATTAAAAAAATGGATAAAACAGACTTCAGCAAAATTAAAAACTCTTGCACTTCAAAAGACACCACTAAGAAAATGAAAAGACAAGTCACAGACTGGTAGATATATTTGCAAATCATGTAGCTGATAAAAGACTTGTATTCAAAAATATATAAGAACTTTTACAGTTCAATAGTAAGAAGAAAAACAACTCAATTAAAAAAAAGTTTTGAACACACGCTTCACTAAAGATATGATAAGCATAGCTAATAAGCACATGAAAAGATGTTCAACATCGTTAGTCGTTAGGGAATGCAAATTAAAGCCACAATAAGACACTATTTTACATCTACTAGAATGGCTATACTAAAAAAGATAGTAACAAATATTTGTGAAGACGTGGAGAAACAGGAACCTCATTCATCCATCGCCGGTGGGAATGTAAAATGGAACAGCCAGTTTGGCAAACTGGCAGTTTCTTAAAATGTTATACATAAATTTACCATACAACCCAGCAATTCTTCACTCCTAGATATCAACCCAGACAAATGAAAACATATGTCCACACGAAGACTTGTACGAGAATGTCCAGAGCAGCATATTGTATGACTCCATTTATCCAGAAAAGGCAAATCTAAAGAGATAGAAAAGAGATTAGTGATTGCCTGGCATTGAGGGTGGGAACAAGGAGTGACTGCAAAGAGCACAAGAGATCTTAAGAGACTGATGGAAATATTCTAAATCTGGATTATGGTGATGGTTGTACAACTGGGTAAATTTGCTAAAAATTACCGAGAACAGGTGAAATCACTTAAAATGAGTGAATTTTATGTAAATTATACCTCAATACAATTTTAAAAAACGACATTTATACAGTCATTGTGGCATTGTAAGAGCAAAAGAACAAACGTAAATTTCCATCAGTAGAGGACTGGTTAAATAAATTATAGGGGATCTGTACAAAGTGGCTGCATAAAAAAAAAGAGCTCCTTTATATATTGGTATGAAGTAATCTTCAGGTTTTATTAGGTGAGAAGTGCAAGATGTATAGTATGATAACATTTGTGTGAAAAATAGGGGAAGGAAGAATAATGTGTACTTAAGAGTTTGCTTGGGGACCTCCCTGGTGGCACAGTGGTTAAGAATCTGCCTGCCAATGCAGGGGACATGGGTTCCATCCCTGGTCCGGGAAGATTCCACATGCCGCAGAACAACTAAGCCCGTGTGCCACAACTGCTGAGCCCATGTGCCACAACTACTGAAGCCCGTGCGCCTAGAGCCCATGCTCCACAACAAGAGAAGCTGCTGCAGTGAGAAGCCAGCGCATTGCAGTGAAGAGTAGCCCCCACTTGCTGCAACTAGAGAAAGCCCACGTGCAGCAATGAAGACCCAACGCAGCTAAAACCAAACCAAACAAAAAATCACGATGCATTTATCATCCATAAAAAAAAAAAAGAATTTGCTTATGTATGCCTAGAATACCTCCGATATATAATACTTTAAATATCTTGTAAAGCTATGTAAGAAACTAGTATTATTGTTTGCCTCTGTAGAAGGCAACTGGGTGGCTGGAGTGGGAGGTGGAGGGCGACCTTTCACTGCATATTAGAACCATGTGAATTATGACTTATAAAGAAAGTAAATAAAAATGCAAACTTAAAAAAATGGTATTCAAATAAAGGAGGTTATTTGACCGTTTTGTTTTTCTTTTACAGAAAAATTACTTCCAATAGGTGGCGCTCCTGAAACACCATACAAGTTTTACTTTACTTTTTTTTTTTTTTTTGAGAAAAACCCGAATTTGCTCTGATGGCCTTTCCTCTCCATTTGTCACCTTTGGGAATCTTGAGTCTAGATTTAGGGTTGAAAATCTCTACTAGGATTGCTCCAAAATGTATTGCTCTGTTTCTGAGAACTGGATAGAAGGGAAAACACCTGGATTAAAAAAGAAAAATTGTAACTGGTTCAGAAAACCAAATAATGCTTGGGCCCTGTTTTACTGACTGAAATTTCTGGTTGATTGAATTAGAACTTCTGATTGATTGCTTGGGTGATTAGAAGGTTAATATAGGTTCAGTGATTCTTAACTAAGGGCGACTTTGCATCCCGTGGGGATACTTGCAATATCTGGAGATATTTTTGTTGTCACAGCTGGGGAGTACTACTGGCATCTGGTGGACAGAGGCGAGGGATGCTGCTAAAAATCCTACAATGCACAGGAAGTCATCCCCCTCCCCGCAAGGAATTATCAATCAATCCTCCCTACCCCCCATCCTTATAGCTGCTTGGGGAAAGGAGATAAACTTGGCAGTAGTTGGGAAGGCAGGTAGTGCAAAGGCACGTTCTTAGAATTGGTGTAGAGAGACACACCTACTCTGAGTTCTGGGCTCAATTCTTCCTCAAATGGTTTCCTTGAAGGTGGCTGTATTGGTCATCTTCCCTTTCCTTAAGGGGCTAAAAAGGATAGTACAGTCATAATCATTTTCCATCGTCCTCTATAAATTAATTTGATGCATATTTATTTTCTAATTAAAAAAATTTTTAGCTTTCACTCTAAATGTCTTTATTTTTTTCACCTTTCTTCATATATATATACTTAAAAATTTTTTTATTGGAGTATAGTTGATTTACAATGTTGTGTTAGTTTCAGGTATACAGCAAAGTGAATCTATTATACATATACATATATCCACTCTTTTTTTAAAAAAAACTTTTTTTAAGATTCTTTTCCCATATAGATCATTACAGAGTATTGAGTAGAATTCCCTGTGCTATACAGCAGGTTCTTATTAGTTATCTACTTTATATATAGTAGTGTGTATATGTCAATCCCAATCTCCCTATTTATCCCTCCCTGCCCTTACCCCCTGGTAACCATAAGTTTGTTTCCTATTGATGCATACTTATTGAGTGCTTTTTATGTTCAAGGCTTTGGAGTGGTTTCTTCATGGTCCTGGGGGTGGGAGAGGACAAGAATGGAGGCTCTGTATCTAGTTTCTCTGTGTGTTCTTCAACTTTTTGTCACTAGACCCTGACCTCAGTCTCTCTCAACCCTTCTCTTTATTTCATCCATTCTACCCAAAGGGATAACAATGCCATCGTCTGGTATGTCCTAAGCAGTTTCTTCCAAATAACTTGCCCCCCCATTCCAAAATTTTACGACTACTAACTAGCAATGTCTCTTTCACTTCACATTCCGTTACCTGATAGAGCTGGTCATTGGACAACAGTGTCTGCTTGTCTGAAGCTGCACAAAAAATAAACAAAAGGTACACATACACAAGATAGAATAAATAATATACTGGGATATATTCACCCAATGGAGTACTGAATAGCAATAAGAATTAGTGAAATACATCTACCTATAACACTATGGATAGATGTCACAAGCATATTGTTGAGCAAAAGAAGCCACACACAAGAGTACTTACTGTATGAGTCTATTTACGTAAGCAACAAAAACAGGCAAAATGAATCAATGTTGTTAGAAGTCAGGATAGTGGTCGCTTTTGGGACTAAGTGGAGGCTGGAAGTGACCACAAGTGTTAATTCTCTTTCTTAAACTGGGTGCTGGATTCATGTGTGTGTTTGCTTTTTTAGAAAAGCTTTTTGAGCTGTGTGTATGTGATTCATGCCCTTTTCTGTATGTAGGTTTTACTTCAAGAAAGAGTTTCTTAAAAAGCACAGAGGACAAATCAGAGAGAGTTGGATCTTGAGATAGGCAAATATGCTGTGAAAACACCAAGTGTCCTTTTCTCCTGCCTACAGAACCAGAGCCCCACCCAGTCGTGCTCATCAGTGACACGTGCCAACCCAGTCTTTTCTATTGGTTCTATTTTGGTAGGAAGAAGGCTAAGGGTCCCAGGTGGTCTCACCCCTCAGCTAAGAGCATTCTTTTACCTCTTGACTGGCGAACTCCTTCCTGTCCCGCAATGTAGTAGACCCCAACAGCAAGGAGGAAAATGCTGATGATTTCAGCGAAGATAAAGCCAGACACAGTGGCTAAATTCAGCTCAATGCAGTTCTGACACACTGTGGGGAAAGGGAAGGATAAGCCTCCTTCGAGGTGTGAAAGTTGTTCTGGATTTTTTTCTCCTGAGATAATACCTCTGTCTAGGGCAGAAGACTGTTCTCTCTGTGGGTGGTACGGCAAGGGAATTGCCTGGGAAGATCCTTGGGCTGAGAACTCAATGCTTTTTGATGTTCCTCTGTCCCCCAGGAGTCCTGGGGGAGCCCATGGAGTATTAGTCCCAGCAACTATTGAAATATAAGGAAGACCAGATCCCATTCTCCATGCTCAACTGCCTTCTACATTCCTGTTACTTACCTGGTAGTCTCCCCTGTCTCCCTCACCTGCCCTAACTCACTTTATATAAACTGCTGACTGCTCCAATCTGTGGGGCCTACTCAAAAGTGAGTCAGGCTTTACAACACAGGCTATGTTTTTTCAAGAATTTGGGGGAGCTACTTTGTTAAATTCAAAAAGAAGTAAGTTGAGGGACTTCCCTGGTGGTCCAGTGGTTAAGTCTCCATGCTCCCAATTCAGGGGGCCAGAGTTTGATCCCTGGTCAGGGAATTAGATCCTGCATGCTGCAACTAAAAGATCCCACATGCCGCAACTAAAGATCCCCCATGCCTCAATGAAAATCCCGCGTGCCGCAACTAAGACCCGGCGCAGCCAAATAAATAAATTAAAAAAAAATTATGTTGAGATTAAGAAAACTGGCTCTTACTTCACTGTTTAGCATCTATTTCCACACTCACCCCAGACAAGAAGCTCACCAGAGCAGCAAGTACTGTTTAATTTCACACAAGCAAACCAAAGGGGATACGTACTTCTATAATATACTTGGAGTGGTTTTGAACGGTTCTTTGATCCTTGACACCAATATATCCCTCGAGGGTCCTTGGTACTACTTCCAAGATTCCAAGTCTTTTTACTTGTGTTTACAGGACTTATTTGCACCTCATCTTTAAACCATCTGATAACATTTTCATTCATGTCACAATTCAGAATTACTGAACCATCTTCTCGATTGTCATCCACTTTTACTGAAAAAGGAAATGTCTGTTAAGATCTTGCCTCTGAAATTCTCCCTGTCCCAGGGCATCAGGAGACCATGACAGTACTGCTTCTTAAGCTTTAATGTGCACATGAATCACATGGGGTCTAGTTAGAATTTCAGGTTTTATTCAATAGTTCTGGGGAGGGACTGAGATTCTGCATTTCTAACATGCTCCCAGGTGATGCCAATGCTGTTGGTTCATAGGTTGTGCTTTGAGTAGTGCCTAGCTGCTAGGGTCCTCTTTCTCCTCCAAGAACCAGAAAACTAATTGTTTAGCTACAGGAAAGCTGCCAGGGAGGTCAAGGCTGGCCACTGATTTGGTTGACACTGGGGAGGTTTGCTGTCTATCCTTCATCATCCCATCCCTTCTTAGCTCTTCACTTGCTCCTATAGGACTACTGTTGTGGGAAGCCATACTTCCATGAATTTCCTCAGAGGTTGATGATAGAAAGAAGCCATTTCCCCTACCTTCATTCAACTGTGCCATAGTACCTGTAGAGACAGAAGAGAGACAGAGGATCAGCTGGGCATGGAGTCATTCAGATCCCCTGATGTATCATTTCCATGGTCATTTGAGGCCAACATGGAGAGCAAGAGCCTAATTCATGCGAGTGACAGTATCTATACCTATTTCTTTGGATTGTTGCCCAAATCACCAAACCGAATTTAGGGCGTTGTATAGCAAAGAGTTTGTCCGGTCTTTCTCCTGGGTTGCTGGGAGGGAGTTTCTCAACCCGTGGAATTTCATGAATGACAGGATTGCCTTCGTGATTCTTCGTGGGCCCTTGGATCACACATGAGTTTATGCTAATGAGATGACTCAGGATGGGACTGGTCAAGACCAAACATGTGATTGGAGAATTGGGGCTTTGAGCCCTAGGAGGGGGAGGAGGACTGGAGATTGAGTTCAGTCACACGACCAGTGATTCAATCAATCATGCCTATGTAATGAAACCCCAATAAAAACTCATTCATACTTCCTAGTTGGTGAATATATCAATGTGCCAGGAGGGTGATGTATTTTAATTCCTGAAGGAGAGGGCATGGAAGCTTTGTGTTCAGGACCCTCCCAGACCTCACCCTATGTATCTCTTCATTTGGATAGATCTGATTTTATTTTTTGTAAGAAAACTGTAGTAGTAAGGATAGGGCTTTCCGGAGTTCTGTGAGTTGTTCTAGCAAATTCTGAGGGGGTTCTTGGGAACCCTCCAGATTTGTAGGCAGTTCGTTAGAAGTGTGGGTAGTCTGAGGATCCCTGAACTTGTGCCTAGCTTTTAAAGTGAGGGCAGTCGTTTTGGGGACTGAGCCCTTAACCTTTGAGGTCTGACACTAACTCTGGACGGTTAGCATTGCAGAACTGTATTGCAGTATCCGTAAGGGTATTGCCTGTACAGTGTGGAATGCTCTTCTCCTTTAGCAGCTAAAGCCCTGGCAAAGACTGGGTGTGCACTAGCTAAAGCCTTTTAGAGCTGAGTTACTTCTAAAACCTTCAGCCTTGGTGATCCATTTTTTGTGGAAACCCTGAATGTCCCCAAAGAGTTAGCTGTTAAATAGCCCTCAAATCTGTCTCAAAACTCAGAGTAGTAGAGTTGCATGGTAGACATACTATAGAGAACCAACACTGGAGTTCAGTTCAATTGGATTTAATCCAAACACTTACCACTATTATATGTCTGAGTAACGAGTAATGAGTAACGAGTGTGGAAGAAAAGGGTGGTGATACAAATAACTAGTTGTTGCTTCTGAAGAGTTTACAATGAAGTGGGAAAAAAATAAACACAAATGTAATAAATGTAATAGTACTTGTAAATTATCATTTAGTATTTGTATAAACGCATATGGAAAGGGGTAGAAACTATTGATTTTGACCAAGGGTGAGGGGACAGGGAAAGCTTGACAGAGAAGATGGCATTTGGTTCTGCCTTGAAGAATGAGTAAGAATTCACCAGACAGAGAAAGAGTTTCCAGGTAGAAAGAATAGCTGAACAAAGATACAGACTTGGAAAAGGACAAAAGAGGTAGTTTGGCTAGAGGTAGAGTTTGTTATGGGGAGAGATGGGGGCATAGATCAAAGTGTGATGGAAACAGTTGGAAGGAGTCAACAGTCTTAGAACTTCATATAGGGGTGAACTGTTTATTAATAGTTCACCCAGCACAGTGCCTGGAATATGGTAGGAGCTTTATATATTTCGAATGAATGTATGAGTGAATAAATGGGTAAATGAAGATAAAGAAAAGCAAGACAAAGAGTTAAGCAGATTTCTAACTAGCTCTTCTCCCCATCCACCTGATCACCATGGGAGGAAAAAAGAGTCCCCTCATTCTAACTCTGATTCAAAACTCCCCATATCTCCTCCCTCTTGCGTCTCCCTCCCACCCTCCCTATCCTACCCCTCTAGGTGGTCCAAAAGCACCGAGCTGATATCCCTGTGCTATGCGGCTGCTTCCCACCAGCGATCTATTTTACATTTGGTAGTATGTATACAGACTTAAACTTTTGAATATATTCTTATATCAGTGGACGTCTCTTTAGCATTTCATACTCATGGTGATTTTCTCCTTCTGGAAGCTCTCTACTCCCTTGGTTTCTATGGAATAGCACTAATCCGATTATTTCAGCTCTTGGATCATTCCCTTATCTCTTTACTGACATGTTTGTTCTCTAACTATTCTTTAAAGGTGGTATCCTCACAGTTCTATCCTCAGCCTCCTCTTCCTCACATCTCTCATAGTTTTTGCGTGATTTCAACGACTTTCAATGTGGAGAGGATCACCTCTAGTCCAGATTCCAGGCATCGGCCCAGTTCATCCACTTCCTATTGTATTTCCAACTGAATATTTGTTCAGGCAACCTATATTGAACCTTACACTCAATCTGGCAACGTTGAAACTTATCTCTTCAATTAGACTATGAGCTAATTGGAGCTGAAGGTTTTTATTCACCTTTATACCCTTCTAGCCTAACACGTAATAGGATCTCACACGTATTTGTTGACCAGCTGACCAACAGAGTGAGTGAATGCTTCATAGGTCTACTCCTAACCCCAGCTCTGAGTTAAGGAACACATACATTTCTCTTCAGACTCCTGGCCTGTGCCCTTTGGGCTACATTCAAACCTAAGATGGTGGCATCCGGATTCTCTCTCAAGCCAGTAAAGTCATCTGTTTTGATTTCTTAAGAGACAAGGACTCCATCTCTCCCATGGAACATGGCTTCTCTTTAGCAGAGAGCAGTGAGAAGCTTCATTTTTGCCCTTCCTTCTCTGAACTTTAGGATGACAGCTCGAGGTTAGGGGATCCAAATATTCTTGCCCCCCTGTTATGGCTTCTTCCCTTGAGCCCTTCTCCAGACTGTCAGACCCCCTAGCGGGCCCTTACCTTGAAGAAGAGTGATAGCCAGGATGAGGCCAGCCAGACGCTTCCCCTGCTCCATAGCAGCCTCTGTTCTTCTCCCGCAGAAGCACTGAGCAGCCCCTAGCAGCCAGCCAGCCTGCCTGTGCTAGCGTATAGCCTGGCTCCGCCCAGCATCCTTAAGGCTGGGGCCCCTGTGAGAAGGCAAGAACCCGGAGCCTCCACCCTCTGCTTCAAGTGTGGGCAGTGGGTGGGGGCAGGGCTCAGGAGGGCTGCAGGTGCAGATACCTCTGGCTTTTCAGTTAAGGAGAGGAGCGTGGGTGGTGGAGGGGAGGGAGCGTGAGGGAGTGCTGGATTCCCATCTCAGAGACTCAGCTTGTACGGAAAGCCACCTTGGGTGCTGGGCAGGAGGGGGCCTGGGCCGCTTTCTTTTTATGAGGGGAAGATAAACGTTTCTGCCACCACTTGTTACTTGGGTCTCAGCCAGCTGTTGCTAGCTGTTGTTGTTAGAACTAGTGAATTTAGGTGGGAACTCTTAGGTGCTTGGGGCTGGAACTCTGAACAGAAAGCCACCTCAGTCCAGGGATTTTTTTTCACTGCTCTCTTGAGATGAGATCATCAGAGTGGTGCCTGCCTGGAAAGGAATAGGTAGGACAATTCCACCAAGACAGACCATACATTTCCAAGGACTAGGGTCAGCTGTGTTCCCAGGACCTCAGGCCCCTCAGCCGGTCAGCCAGTGAATTGAGAAAAATGTACGGAGCTCTCAACACGTGCCACGCACAGGCCAGGAGCTGGTGATACAGAAGTGAGCAAGACATGTACGCTCTCTACCCTCAGATAAATTACAGTCTAACTGCGACAGTGTAGGCAGTTTGGGATTTCCATAGCCCAGAGGAAAAAAGTCCATTTGTCTCCTGGGGAGACTCAATTGTGCTGTGAATTAATCATATTGTTATTAATAACTCTCTCTCTTATTGAGAACATATGAAGTCTCAGGTACCATGGAAACATTCCATTCGAATTCTTCTCATGGTACTGAGGGAATCAGGCTCTGAAGAATTCTGTGACTGGCTCAGACCCAGCAGGTAGGCAGTATTGGAGCCAGGATGTAAATCTCTCGTTAGAGGGCTCCCAAAGCTCAAACTCCCACTGGTAAGAAGCTACTTAGGGGCTTCCCTGGTGGCGCAGTGGTTGGGAGTCCGCCTGCCGATGCAGGGGACGCAGGTTCGTGCCCCGGTCCGGGAGGATCCCACATGGCGCGGAGCGGCTGGACCCGTGAGCCATGGCCACTGAGCCTGCGCGTCTGGAGCCTGTGCTCCGCAACGGGAGAGGCCACAGCAGTGAGAGGCCCGCGTACCACAAAAAAAAAACAGAAAAAGAAGAAGAAGAAAAAAAAAAAAGCAGCTACTTAGTGTGGTGTCCCAGGCGGCCCAAGGAGGACCTCGGGTCCTCCCAAGAAAGACCAGGAAAGGGAGGAACCTAGCTGATATGGTTTCTGGGATGGGGTTCACAGCTTGTCTCAAGGGTTTTGAGAGGTGGCAGTTTTTAGGTGGTGAGTAAATGTAGTGATGTTTGCTGACAGGAACTCAGAATTCCTTGTTTTTCATCAGTGACTCAAGAAAGGACACCCTGAATCTCCTTTTACTTCCTAGAAGTCCAGGCAACCTTTTCCATATCCTCTGCTTCCCCCTTCTACCCCTCCCCCACCCTCCATGCTCTGAGAAAGAGCGATTTGCACCTGCTTCCTTCCTACCCCACCCCCAGCCTACCTCTACCCTGGCAGCCTCCCGTCACCAACAGCAGAGAGCAGAGAAATAGGCGTCTTCTAGTGCCTCCACCACCCTTTACTTTTTCCGGGTACACATGAGTCAGTTGGGGGAAGGCAGCTTTCACCTTGGCTGATAGTTCTGTGACTTGGGTCTGTCTTCTGGATGAATTCTGCTGGAAGATGGAACACAGAAGTTTTCTGTCTGGCCTGATACTGGCTGCCCTTCTCTCCCAAGGTAAGGCTTCTCTGGGTGGATGGGGGCATCTTGGAGAAGGGACCTAAGAGCGACATTACCACCTGGAATGTGGTCCACTCGAAAGTCCTTCTCAATGCTAGCTAGCTTCAATTCACCAGGCAGCGTTGTCAAGGAGGGCCATGTTGGGACGTAGCACAGGGTCTGGGAAGCACAGGCTCTTCGCTTTGACTGAATCCAGCTAGGGGTGCATCTTTGCCTTGAATGTCTCTCTGAAGACCTTAGGCCAGAGATCTGTAGGAAGTGTTGCAGTATGTGTGTGCCTTAGCCTAGGGCTGGTAATGGGAGCACTTTTCCTTCTAGGGCAGAGCCTTTGGGATCCAGGACTCCTGGGCATTTGGTCATCATGATGTCACCACCTGGGGCCCAGCACTCAGGGGAATGCTTTAAGAGAAAAGTTAAATTGAGGCTGAGCAGGAGGGAGGGCAGATTTGGGGGAGTAGAATGACCCACTCATCCACGTTTGTCTGGTTTTAAAACTGATACTCTCATGTCCCAGGTATTCTCTCAATCCCAGGCAAACTGGGATGAATGGTTACCCTAGTAGTCAGCTTCTTTGGGACATCCAGGATTTCCATTGGAAGCGGATCCCCAAGGAATACATGACTCTGTGATGTGGAGCATCTGATGTACATGGATCTCCCTGAGAATACATGCATTTTCTCCTGACCTGCTACAGAGGCATGAGAAATGGCTCTTCGGGGGGTTTTCTAGAGGATGCTCTTCTATCCAAATTGGTTACTGACCATGAATCTCAGGAAGAATGTAGATTCCACTTTTTCCTGGGATTGGAGATATAGATTCCAGTGCCTCTGTGGGCTGTGGAGATGCTCTCAGTCACAGCAGTTCAGTGGATCTAGAAAGGTGCTGTTCGTACCTCCAACCCTTAAACTCCCCACAAGACTTGACCTGTGTGGAGCCCCAAGAACAGATTCAATAAAATTTTTTTTTCCTGTCCCTCTCCTCCTAAGCAAGGGTGGAACAACTAAAAATATTTACATGGGATTTGCCCTAGGTCCCCTTTTGGACCACTGGGATGGTAATTCATATTAGCTTCTCTCCTACCCGCAGCCATCATTGGCCATAGGAAAGGCTTTAGTAGTACCATTCCCTTGGTAGTGGTTGGGGCAAGGGTGGGGCGAGGGGGCAGAAGATGAGAAGTTGACCTGGGAGTGTTGCAGGTGGCTGGGAAGAAGAATTAGAAGGTTTCTTGGAGAAAAAAATGAAGACATCTCCAATCGAGGACCATTCTTCTGCCTTTCCATATCTCTTGGGTGTTTTAGCAGTCTGGGCTCCCCTCCTACTTCTAATCAGTGGTCTGAACACATTTCCAGGAAGGTTCTTGGATCGACCCAACTCCATGTTTTCCTCTTTTGCTCCATGTCCATCAGGGCCTGTCCTCTGTTTGGATTGTATCTTCATGTCCTTCTTGGTCCCCGCAGTTTGTGGGGAGCCTATTGAAGCACTTCTCTTGTGACTTCCGTCTCTCTCACTAGAAACCATGAACTATTCTAGACTTGGAAATTGGTCCTTCTTAAGTATGAGCCTCAGCAGAACAAGCAGTCTGGTGCAGACCAAAGAGCTGGCTCCAATTGTGGTATTTTTTCCCTTAGTGAGCCCCTTCGATATCTCTGTGGAGGAACTTGAGGACAGAGTGTTTTTGAGATGCAATGAGAGTATCACGTGGCTAGAAGGAACGGTAGGACAACTGGCCTTAGGCAATAAAACTATGGACTTGGGAAAACGCAACCTGGACCCACGAGGAGTGTATGTGTGCAATAAGGCAGATGGACAAACCAGCAAAACACCTACTCTGCAAGTATACTATCGAAGTATGTGCTTCCAAGACCCTTTGCGTTGGAATGGATGGGGCCTCTGTATATGAGAACTTTCTAGGTGTAAGGAGCTCTGGTGTACCAGTCTGTGCTCTCAACAAACTGGGTTGTTCTCGTAATGGCATGAGCCAGATTTTGGAGCCCTGAGTGGGAAATAGCTTAATGGCAAAAGAACAATAGGGACCTTGTGACCCAAGCAGTAGGGGCTTGGTGGGGAGAGTGGTTGGCCTACTGCCTTGTTTAAGTTCCTACAAAGCTGAGACAACTTCTTGGCTCTCCTCAGGGATTTCTTGGGTTGAAGGTTAGAGGTAGATGTATCAAGGCTCTCAGCAGGACTTTTTCCAAGTTTGGGTCTTGGCATGAGAGATCCTGGGGCTGACTTAAGAGGCAGAGATGGTTCCCTGATCTTGAAGACCCTCCACCTCTCCTTCGGCCTCCCTTCCCCCACAGTGTGCCAGAACTGTGTGGAGCTGGACTCAGCCACCCTGGCAGGCATCGTCATCACTGACATCATTGCCACTGTGCTCCTTGCTTTGGGTGTCTACTGCTTTGCTGGACACGAGACTGGAAGGCTCTCCAGGGGTAAGTGGAAGGGACAGAACATGTGTGTGTTGTGGCTGTGAATGTGGGTATGAGTGTGTACCTGCTAAGGAATGGGGCTGGAGGTGGGTTGTGTCTCATCTGGGAGTCACTATTGCAATCTCCTAAGGCCTCTTACAACTGGTTGCTGACAGAACTTAGGTGCCCATATAGCTCATGCAGACTTCCAAGGGTGAGACCAGCTGAAGTCCCCCTGCAGCATTCATGGGGTCTCCCTGTCCCATCTCCTAGGCCCTTGTTGACTCTCTTTCCCTGGTTCTTCTAGTTGCTGACACTCAAGTTTTGTTGGGGAATGACCAGCTCTATCAGGTGAGCCCTGAGGGGAAAAAGATGAGAATGGGGGGAGGAGTGAGTGGGGATGGAGAGCCTGATACTAGGTTTAATGTGTATGTGTGTGAAGGTCCTAGTGGGGAATCCGTCACTGGGGGGTCTGGAATGGCCAGGAATGATCTCTCATCTCTGGGGTCTGCTGGGGTTCTCCCTGGGACAGTTCTGACACTGCCTCCCTGTTTCTCCTTCTCATCTCTTAGCCCCTTCGAGATCGGAACGATGCTCAGTACAGTCATCTTGGTAAGAACTGGGCTCGGAACAAGTGAACCTGAGGCTGGTGGCTTCTAGGCTCATTGGTTATCGACTGGACCTTCTCTCCTTGCTCAGCCAAGAAAGCTGTCCTCCTTCACTCAGCAGGCGCCTGGACTT